AGCGCATAGGTATCGGGAACGTTCGCGGCACTCTCATTACATGACTGGGAAGCCGCACACGCTCTTTTCGCAGGAGAGAACCGCTCTTTTTCACTTCGCCGGTACTCGCCGAGTCAATCGCCGGGCGACCGCCCGATGAATCGCGCGCGATTATTTTTCCACGACCGTCACCGACGCGCTCTTCGGACCAACGAGGCTTCCCCGACGCGACGCGTTGAGATTCCTCACGCGTCCGATAAACACCGGAGGTATCCGTACGCCGCCGTAACTTCACGCAGGTAAACCCGCTTCTATCGTGTCATTCACGCCGCGGGGAAATCATTCGGCAACGCTCCGCGCCCGTTCAACGTCACGGCGCGGAAAGCGCGACTCGGACTCGGGCCGATAAAAAGGATCATCCCTTTGATCGTTATCCTGCATGCGTAATCCCGCACACCCCCGGCCGTAATCATTTGCATAGCGACATCGTGAGTCCTCCAAATATGCTAAGCACCGCGCACGCGCGTAATGCGCGTAATGCGCGCTACACGGCGGGTAGCGACGTGCGCGCGCGGACCGCGCGGGGTGACACGCGTTGACATTCGTCATTGTTCCGGCTTAATTACACTTTCTTTCAGCGGGACAAAAAAATTTCGCCACTGTCAAACGCGCGCTGCTCAGCCGCGCTCCCCTCACACCACCCCCGGCCGCTCCGATTCTCGCTTCTACCCCTCGCTGTTGCATCCACGCGAGCAAGGGGTGACGCTCGTGTAAACCGCGTGTACGACCGTCCACCGACACCTGTTTACTCCCTACGGACACTCGTGTGCACGCACGGTGAAAACGCTTGGTTTACGGGCGCAGGGGGGAGGGGGGAGGGGGGTGGGAGCCGACGAAATCGTCTTGTTCGAGCTGGCATAGCGTTGATTAAAGCGTTTTTTTATTATGCCAATTAATGGCGATCGCTACGCAACGCGAAGCTTACAGCTCGCGCAGGGGAGGGGGGGAGGCCACGGGCGGGAAATTTATTCGTTCACACATCGATACCGAAATATCCGGCTTGCGACTTGCCAATTTGCCGTATCCCCCCCGTCCCCCTTGCCCCTCAAACAAACCGGGACGATTCTCGGAGGAATGCGTGCGAGAAGAGAACGGACCTGATAACGTTGCTCTGATGCAATTTATGGAAAAGAGAAAGGGGAAAGCGAATGGAGTCGCGCGTCGGGAAAATGAGAGACGATCTAAATTGTGCGCACCGTTCAACGAGCGCGCGGCGCGCCCCCGATCAGCGGCGGATAATGCGTAACGAGAGGATAATACGCTGGGAAATGGTACGAGAAATTCGGCGCGTACGCACGATGGCGCACGCCGCGCCGGCGGTGTACGTACGCGTACACGTGTGTGTTCTTTTTCGCCTCTCGGGCGAGAGAATAATTAAAGGCACAAAAGGGAGCGCCCAGCGAATTACTCGGCCGCTGCGCTCAGACAGCGGCGGCGGCGGCGGCGGCGGCGGCGGCGACGGCAGCGACGGCGGCGCGATTGGACGGTCGTTCTCATTCCGAGATTCTCCTTGAACGCGAGGTCCACGTCAGACGCGGAAACGTTCAAAGGGTTTCCGCGGGGGGACGAGAGGAAAAAACTAATTAACTTTTCGGAATAATTAAGATAAGGCCGTTGGAGATCCGGCCGATCGGCCGACCCTACGCTAAGCCGCGCGCTTCCTCTTTGCTCTTCACGGTAGAGGAGCCGAGCCGAATCGGGCCGAGGGTCCCTCTGGAAATGGCGATCGGTCGATTAAATCGTTTGCATGAGAAGGGAGCGGAGCGCGCGGATCTTAAGCGCACGCTCGCGCGCAAGAAGTCCCGTAAAATTACACGCCGTGGAGGCGACGCGGTAGCCGATTTTATTATCAGATTAGCACGTGTTCTCCTTCCACGTTGAAGTATTAATTATGGAAGAACAAGGAATCTCTGCTTCCGCGCGGAAAGAGCGAGAGAGAGAGAGAGAGAGAGAGAGAGAGAACGATAGATAGCCGCGACGTAACACCGAGAAAATGAAGAAGCTCAATTTACACACGGCGATACTCACGGTCGGCCTGCCTGCTGCAGATGCGGACACGAGGCGACCGCTTTTCGTCCGAAGGAAGCAGCGCGAAGCAAGGGATGAACCGAGCCGAAGACCGAGCCGCCAGACTGGCTGATAACGAGGGAAACGACGCGCGCTTGGGACAATACGTTGACCTACGCGACGACGGGAGCGCGATTCGGCGCTGTTGGATTAAGAAAGTCTGACAAGAATTTCAATAAGAGAGGCGCCAAGCAGAATTTGCCGACAAGCAATTAGGGACATTGCTATTGACCGACTCCCGATAAAGTTAAATTAAAGTGAAATCAAAGACGCGCGCGCGCCAACTTTCGACGGGCTTTACCTCGGGCAGATTTTTCTTCTATCGCCGGCGTCAAGGTGGCTTCTAAGGCTGTCGCCGTTTCGCGGCCTTGTCGCCAGGATTTTCCTAGCAGATTCGCGCGACGCACCCGACCAGGAAAATCCCCCCCCTCCCCTCCCCCCCCCTCCAGAGCCCGCGCGCGCTCGACAATGATGCACATTCGCGTGATTAACGGACGACTATCAACGAGGCATTTACACGATCTACCGCCTCTCGCCGCATCTTCTGTCCAATTATCAACGTCGGTAGAGACGCGCAGCCCTCCTACCTCTCACGCGCCCACTTCAATTCCTGCCGCGTACAGCCCGCAATAAAGCCTCGCCTCTAAAAGCGAGGTAGATGCACTTTACACGAGAGAGCGGCTCTCGCGTGACACGAATAAAAGTCTTATTGCATGCCGGGAGAAGAGAGCGAGAGAGCGAGAGGAGGCAAGAAAGTAGTCGAGCGCGACGACTGGGCCGCCGCCGCCGCCGCCGCCGCCGCCGCCGCCGACGCCGACGCCGTCGTCGCCGTCGAGCGCATACAGGCGCTCCGCTGATAATTAGCGAGTGAGCGCCGCGCCGTAGGACTGATAATTCTCAACAATGGTTCATTACTGTCGTTTAAATGTGCACGACAAGTGCATTCGAGTGGCCGTGCCCGGCGGAGGCTCGGGTGGCTGCCTATCTGGCTATTTCCATATATCCTTCATTGTCCTCTTTGTGCGCGACTAACTATAGATTCGCGAAACTGACATTTTTATGGTGGAACAATGGGGTCGAGAGCGGACGGAGGAGAGGACACGAGGAAAGAGAGATGTGGATAGAGGGAGAGGAGGCGCGCGGAGACGCGCGCGCGTGCCGCGGAGACCAATTCGACGTGAACTAGAGCATCGTTAGCCAAGTAAATAGGCTGCCGCTGCCGCGGACGGGCCGCGACAGCTTGCCGAACACAATTCACGATTTGTATCGTTATGCTTTATTCCCCGAGTGGCCGAAAAGTGCCGCTCAGCCGCGGAGGAGCAAGTCTGCTTGCGCCGCGCCGGCGTCCAACTCGCCGGAGTCGCCGGAGAACACGAAATTGATACTTTATGGAAGTCGGGCTAATGAATCCGCGAATAAATCCCAGGGTCTGATCGTTCACTTAGCGGTTCACTTCCGGTATAACCTAATTAACCGTATCTAATTGGCTATAGGCAGCATTTAGTCAAGCAGAAACGATGGCGTGCGCCATCGATCTCGTTTTGTAAATAATCGCGCAAGAATATCATCGCGCAAGAATAATCGCAAGAATAGCAGAATATTATATGTAAAATATTTGCATGTATGCATGATATAAATATAAATTAGAATTATAATATCTCTCATACGATGACTCTTGTCATCGGCGGTCAATGCGATTTACGTTTACTGCATGCACTAAGTGTAAAAAGACGCTTCGTGAGCGTTTGAGTCGGGCACTCACTAATTCCCGCGGATGTCCCGCGACGTCCAACGTCGTCCGGATCCAGCATGTCCTCTCCCAGGTCCACCTCAACGCTCCGCATCCGTCCGGCGTCCTCAGTATCCAGCCGTCGTCGTGCCACGTTGGTCGCAGCACTTCATTCACTCGCTGCACCGCACTCGCTATCGCGGTAAAACTGTACGACGTTTAACGATCGAACGAAAAGTCCTTAAATCGCGCGGAAAGATAAAGCCCGACCTTGCGGGCGAATGCAGTCGTGAATCGCGCGAGTAAATAAACCGCGTGCAAAAAACGCGCCGAGCTTGTTACAAAAAGAGAAAGTAGACGTTCTGTTACGTTGCTACTGCGTCGTCGAAAATACGAGATTCTCCGCTTCGCGAGAATTCGAACTTTTATGCATAATCGCATCTTCGCGCGAAATCTAGCTTTGGCTTCGATCGAGATTATAATCCGCCACGTCCGACGAGTTTCGCAAATTTTCGAGACGATTCTCGGAATATGTCGAAATATCTGATTTTCTCTTTGGTTCTTTGTGACGATTATTAAATTTATCGAGAGCAAAATAATCGCGAATTTCGCGTGTAGTAGCGCCATTCTAAGGCGCAGTTCTGATACGCCATTCTGAGGCGCAAATCTGATGCGCCATTCTGAAGCGCAATTCTGATGCGCTTTTTATAGCGTTTGAAACAATCTGGGGTATCAGTACTCGGTGAATAATTTCATCGGAAAATTCCGCGATGCGAATTAAATATAACAAATGTCCCAATACTAATAAATAAGAATTATTTTCAAAGGAGGAACCCCTGATTGTTTCTAATAGTGCATTTTGATGGACGGCACAAGACCCAACATTGAGAAAAAAAGTGTTTAATATTATTGACTATAATTGCATAGTGAGTTGGTTATAATCGATAAATTGCCTTATTGATAATAATCTTGCTCTGCTTTATGATGGGACAAGAAAGAAAACGTGGCCAATGTCAAATGTTATATATAACTTTATAATGAAATCAACAACTTTTCTTCTCTCAATGTATATGTAGAAAAATCTACGAGCTAAGTAAATCGCATTGTTCTCGTATAAAAAAAAACACAGAAAAATCCACCACCTAATTTTTTATTTTCGACTCACCGAAATACCAGAAGCTCAGGACCGGCCACGTTCTGATACAGTTCTGAAACAAAGAAGAACATCGACAATTAGATCGACAATGGCTAACTCTGCTTGTTAACGGTCTAACGCGACTATTTTTACTCGAGCTTTAATTACGTCCCAATTTTCATCACAAACACAAATTTTAGGAAAAAAAATATAAACAGTTAATAAACCTACCTTCGAGCCGATCCTGCTTGGCCCGAACCGGATCCTCCGGTACGGCACCCGCATCCACCGAAACTGCTACGATTCTGGAACAAAGAAAATAACATCGTCCATTAAACACGATGATTAAAAATGCTTGTTAACGTTCTAACGCGAATATTTTTATTCGGGTAATTATGTCCCAATTTTCACTACAAATACAAATTTTATGAAAAAATATAGACGGTTAATAAACCTACCTTCGAGCCAGCCCTGCTTGGCCCGAACCGGATCCTCCGGTACGGCACATTCGCGTCCACCGAAATTGTCACTGTCTTCCGTGGGTCTACCACCATCTGAAACAGAAAGTTAACAATAAAGTTAATAATCAAGAATATAACAATATACTAATAAGAGGGCGCAGCCCAAAATCATATATATATCTCTTCTTTTTAAGACAATAAAAATGTGAAACAATAGTCACCCTTGATATTCCAAAGTGCTGCTCGGCAGTAGCCGAGCCGGGGATAATAATCGCAGCACGATGAACACGCGCGAAAGAACGTGACGCGTCTCGCGCGAGTTCCGATCGACGCATGCGAAAAGTCGAGAACAACGCGCGGCGCTCCCGACTTGTTTTCCGCCACGTCGAAGACTGTTGTGATCGCTCGGCCGTCTCGTACATAGGTATATATCGTTTCCGAAGCCTCGTGACCTCTAACTGGTGGGGGGGCACTCGAGAGTACCGTGACATTATCTGTTTACGAATTTAACGTCCTCCATGTCGCGATATCAAAATAACGCATTATTTCGCGCTGTGGAGTTCCCCGCTGACAAGTGACAAACCGTCGCAACGCGTATCCCCCTTGTACGCTCGTCTTAAATACTCGTATCGAGACGCGAAGATTATAAAGACGGAAAATACGAACGGGACGACAAATGGTTGATTGACGATTCCAACGTGATCGCGCGATGGCAAGAAAACAAAATTCGCCGAGCCGGCAAACACGATTCCCTCGGCCCACGACGCGTCGGCGGATTTTCCGCTGGGGACCGGAGAAGAAATTGGCCGTGTCTTGGGGAACGATGTCCTCTCCGGAATAAAATCACGGCAGTCTCGATAGAAATTACGAGGGACACTCGTCCTAGCGGAGAACGGTAGGTATCGGAGGTGTGGAGGACAGTCTGTGAAGCATCGTCATTAACTGCCAATCACTGCCATTCACCGGTCGAGAAGACGAAACCGGCAAGGGAGAGTAAAGAAAAAAAGGTGGAAAGTATTGCAGAGAGACGCTGAAGGGAGATTCTAATTATTTATTTACGACGAGCGCGAGAGAGGCGACGCGCGGCCTCATCGCCGCATTTGGATCCTCTCTCCCTCTCTCTCTCCCTCTGTCTCTCTCTCTCTCTCTCTCTCTCTTTCCCCCTTTAGCCCGCTCAGCCCTGAAATCATCGTTCCACCTCGGAAAATTTGTCAAGAAGGAGCGACACGTTTTTCAATTTTAATTACAGTTGTTATTACAGGTTGTACACGCGCGATAATCGACGAAAAACGCGCGCGCAATCACACAGGCTTCGAATTCACCGCTCGACTTTACGCGCAATTTTCTTCCGTTTCCACGCGGGCAAAGTTTCTGCCGGCGATCTGAAAGGACCGTATCAGAAAGAAATTAGTAGTCGCACGTATTAATTGACGGCTCCACTTCTCGCGCGCGACTTTCCAACCGCGCATGTAGCGCGGTTTTATCTCCGCATTGAGCGGAATCCCAAATTGAATTTCGCGAGGTAAAGCGTAACGACATCGCGCCTTATAAGCACGGCTTGGCCGTCGCCGCCGCCGCCGCCGACGCCGACGCTTTGATATTGGTGAAGTCGCGTGGGAGCCGGTTTTTACTTCGCTAATGATTTCCGCGCTCGCTCAGACGCTAACTTCCCCGACAAATAGGAAAATTAAAGCCGCGTCCGCGCGGACCTGCGCGAGCGCGCGCGCGTAACTCCGTTCTGCTGGGCATTTAGTTGCGACTTTTTTATAATTAATACCTCAGGTGGTAAATTAAGTTGGGCGCGGCGCGGAAGAGTGAGAAAGAAACGTTTTGTAAAATAAATACCGACCGACGTGCGCCACTCTGCGGGTGTGCTCGCGAGGGGGTGGAGGGGGGGGGGAGAGTGATTCCTCGTCTGAGTTTTACCCGTTTCACCCTGTCACGGTCCCTGACGAAGTCTCGGACCCTCTCGCCGCCCGCACCTACTCGCGGAACAACGAGTAGCGACGGAGAGGTCAATTATAATGGAAGATTACGTGCCCGCGATTCCGTCTCGCAGTTATAAATAGCTACAAAGAGTATTAAGTCCCTCGAAAGTATTAACCTGGAGAGCCATTGGGAAAACTTCCCGTTGCGCGGAAGCGAGGAAGACAAATAATTGAAGAGAGTTTTCGTTTCTCGATCCGAGGTCTCCGGGACGCCGTCCACGCTCTTCTGCTATTAAAAAGCGCGTCCCGCGCGCCTGAATTTTTCGCGCGGATTTTTCGCACGCGTTTCAATTATATCAGGGGGATAATTGCTATTTATTAGCGAGACCCCACCGACGTAGATTCGAGCCGTTCAGCAGCCAGCCGACCGGATCCTGATCCCGCAATCCTGCGACGCGACCTGTTAGTCAAACGCGCGGTGATACAAACACGATCGCGATTGAGAATTATAAACGCGCGTTCGCACGCGCGCGCACAGTTGCACGTGACGTTTCCTATCGCGCGCGGCGCTTCATCGATCCTCTATACTCCTACGATCCATAGAAACGCAAAGACAGTGCGGACGTTCAAAGGTCTCATGCTGCGTTCCCCCCCCCCCCCCCCGAGCACTGACTGGCACTGCCTGTTTCTATTTACTTGATCTTACCCAGAGGTTCTCTCACCGGCATCTCTCGAGCCCGCTAATCGCGCAACTTCGCGTCCGACGATACTTCCCGGGCGTCTCGATGACCGTCGCGTCATCCGGTGCATCGCGAGTGAAAAATTCAAGCCGCCTTTCGCGTATTTATCGATACTAAGGGCGAAGGTGCTGGTGAGAACGCGGACACGTCTCGAATGAGAGCCGCTGAAGCCTTAATAGCGCTGCGGTGCATCGGCTGTATTAGTAGCAGCGGTAGCAGTCGTGCATAGTTAGGGTTTAATAGCGTGTATTATTGATTATAATATCGCATGATTGGTACAATCACGTCGCATTGTACCTATCAATGCACGGCATGCAACCGACCGACCGACAAACCGACCGACCGACCGACCGACCGACCGACCGACAGGCCGGCCGTGCATCGCTCGGAACGCTCAGCGATGCACGAAAAGCCGGCGCATTAAATTATTTATTAGCAGGCTGTTTCGGCCGATTGAAATCGGCAATTATCAGACGTATATCATCGGCTGCGCGGTTAGCTGCGAGCTCGTTGCGCAATCGGCACGATCGGCGCTACCTAATAAATGATGCAGTGATTTATATCACTGCATTCGCCCTCCTAATGACGTGGAATATCGTAAACCCGCGGAATTGTAATGCTTGGTTGCGAGGGAGTTATGGCGTAGTGTCTCGTGTGAGAAAAGTCGTGCGAATTAATGTCCTCCGTCTCAAATATATATCACAATCGCGCGTGATTGTGCTTGAAAAAAACAATTGTGCAAAATCGAACTGCTATGTATCGCACACGAAACAGTGTAAAGCGCGATGCTCTCCTCTCCCGCGGTTTCAAAAGTATGTAATTAAATATATCTATATAATATATATATATATATATATATAATATATCTATAATATATATAATATAATATATATATATAATATAATATATATATATATAATATAATATATATATATATATATATATATACGCGAATATAACCGCAAATAAAATGTTCGGGGTGAGAGCGGAGAAAACTTTTCGAACGGGGGGTAGCAAAGTGCGGACGCAGCGCCTCCGAAATCGTCATCTGCACCCTTTCAAAGATCCCGCGAGCTTCCAGTAGCTTTTACCCTACCACTAATGGCCGTCTGCCAGCTGACGAGTAAGAGCAGACGAGGAATGCGAGATACAGTGTTAAAGGAGAGAGAGACGAAAAGCGAGAGTAGATGTGTACCGATACAAAGAGCTATCTCTTTCCGTTCGTCGTCTCTCTCGTGTTTCTCTTCTTTATACTCTCCAAGTCGGAAAGAACGTAATAAAGAAATGGACGATGCCGTGTCCTTTATCTACGTGAAATTTTGGCGCATTTGGTGTATCCGCGAATGCGAGCAGATGAGTGAGAAGAATTCCCCGCGTAAACAGTATGCGATGATTGTTCCCTGAAAATCTATTGATATTATTAAATTATCTGCACGAAATTTTAGAGCTACTCTCTGTGACAAAACGAGACTTGAACATCAATTCGTTTATTCGACAAGATTTAAAAGAAAAGTGAGAGAGGGAATGAGAGACAACAAATCGATATCACTCGCCGTTTCTTTTTGTCATCGCTAGCAAGAGCGCAAGAGAATGCTGCCTAGGGAGCGGAAGGGAAGGGGAGAAATTCCCATAGGGTGTTGGCAGCACGTGACGAGTACCGAAGACATTCGGTCGCGAAATAGTATAAGCATAATCCTCCCACGACAGCGACAGAAATATGAGGCTATATTGTCTCTATATATCATTCAAATATATCCTCCAAGTATCCTTCGACGAGTAAACTGCCTCCCTTCCCTCACGCATCTCCAGTCAACTTTCTTATGTACTTTTATTGAGCGTTTTAAAAGCTGCTCAATGACATGAACGATTCAAATGCGACAGGGAAACTTTACTTGCTTAGTCTTTACTAAACAAATTGCAATTACTCGGTATTAACAAAGTGCTTAATAATCATGATTACGCAGAGATCCAAATTGATCCTGTCCCACTCTGTTCACTCTTGTAACTCAACTATGCGATTTAATTAAAGTAACAAGCAGCAACAGCGGCTCGAGCTACTTGTTAAACCGCCATTATTCCGCCTAAAGACTTCATTTGCCGTAGTCGAAGTGCGAGAGACAACTAGCTAGCGGCGAGGAATAAGAGGAACGTCTATTCTTCGGAACGCACGGCATCTACTTTCGGCATCACACCTCACACATCTTCGATGCCGAGCGGAATGGTGCGCGCGACTCAATCGAGCGTACGACGATCGCCGAGGGCTCTCTCCGAGGTAGGCGAAAAGGAGGGCAGCTCCTCGGCGTCGTCTGCCGCGCCAATTCCCAACAAATTGTAATTTCTAGAAACAAATTGAATATAAACGCGCCGTAATTCGAATGCCTGCTGCAGCAGCACCGGCACAATAATGATGACGGCTGCGTAGGAG